ATAAACCAGTCAGATCCAATATGAACCAGTATAAACCAGTGTGATTCAATATAAACCAATCAGATAAACCAGTCAGATCCAGTATGAACCAGTCAGCTCTAAACCAGAGGACACCGTTAAAAACCAGTTGTCCCAGATGATGAGATTTGCTGTTTCCTCTCTTTCCACCTCATTCTCGTCACTATCTCCTCTTTTAAATAATATTTGTAATGTTCAAATCAAATCTTTAAACTGTGTTTAACATGTTTTTATCCTTGAACGACTCCACAAAGTGTTTTTCATGTGTCTGATCTTAAATTAAAAGTTCAGTATCTACAGTTCAGTATAAACGTATATAATTTGTATTTAAACTGGAAGTGACCACTGGGACAAAGTGCATCACTTGTCTAAGTTACTCTACAAGAATCCTGCACCAACCAGAAGAAGTTCACGTTGATCAGAAGTTCATAAATATCTTGTTGATATGTGAGCACGTGACTGATCCTTTTAGTCGTCTCAGCTGATGTGGTTACGTTGGGAGCTCATGTCGTTCTTAAGTTCAGGGTGTTCGAGCTGTGACCCACAGGCAGAGAGTTCTGATTGGCTGTGCCCAGCACCTCTCACCTTCAGAGTTTTGGCGGGAAGCAGCTCCTCGGATCCTGAAGGCCTGCCGGGTTCTGCTGCGTTCTCCGAAGCTCCAACTCTTTGGGACCTTGCTGGGACTCTCCTCCAGACAAGGCTCCATGCTGGGGGACCGTCGCAGGGCCTGGATCCCCGCTGGACCACCAGGACCTACGGGAACTACAGGACCCCCACCAGGACTAGGACCCACACCAGGAGCAACCCCGGGGCCGACTGTAGGAACAACTTAAGAAAGGAAGCAGTGAAGGACAGGTGGAGGTTGAGGATGTGAGACACAAGAGAATCAGTACGGTAGTTTGAGTTCTGTCCTGGTTATTGTTCAGGTTAATCTAGTCTGCAGGTTTTTCATCAAACCAGTTCTGGCAGGTGATTTCATCAACAAGTTCCTTCATTCTGGTTACTGGTTATCAAATAGTAAGTAAAATAAGGGTCTTGCTGGTTGGTGGGAACTTGAACCTGCAGACCTTGGTTCTAACTCACCATGCTGTGGGGAACCTTTCCCTTTGGTTCCTGAGCTGCGGGGGGATGAGAAGACCCTCTCCTTCAGACTGACCTTCTGACTGCAGACAAAATAACAGACATGTTTAATCGAAATGTTTTGGGATCAGGTCAAGAGAAAGGTTCCTGAATGTCCTTTATTGTCCAAATGAGACATATCCCTTGTCCATGATTTCAGATGTTTGGGCTCTGCATGAACAGAATGATGAGCAGCTGTGAATTTCAACATGAGGGACAAGTTCAGCGAAACTTCTCATTAGTGCCGAATCACAACAAACGTTTACAAAAAGAAAGAAACCTGTTAAATTCGGACTCTTACAGAGCCGGACTGATCTGAACGAGGGGAGTGCTGGTCCGCTTACAGGCTGCTGTTAACAAACATCATATCTGACCAGGAGGTGGTTCAGCAGAGTCTCCTATACCTATTGTTAAAATGTACTTTATTGTGTATCATCAGAACTACTGCTGTTTTTGTTGGACGGTCATGATGATCATATTTGGTGGATCAGGCAGAGGAAGCTGGACAGACCTGCTACACAAACTGATAATGAGGTTGAACTGGGAACTTAAGGGGGACTGCACTTAAACATATCATATCCAATATGAACCAGTCAGATCCAATATGAACCAGTCAGATCCAGTATGAACCAGTCAGATCCAGTATGAACCAGTCAGATCCAATATGAACCAGTCAGATCCAGTATGAACCAGTCACCAGGTCATCCTCAAGACTCGTTAGGGTTTTCCAGGTCTGTCCTGCAGGCTTCCCCACCATCTGATCCAGTCCACCACCAGGTGGTGATCAGTTGACAGCTCTGTCCAAGACATACAGCTGCAGATCTGATGATACGACCACAATGTTGATCATTCATCATTGGCCTAAGGTGTTCAGGCACCAGTTAAACCTTGAACCCACCTTGAATTCGAACAGTGTATATTATGGCCAACCCACACTACCACTACCACAAAATCCAATGATAAAACAGTACTCAGGTTACCATCAGACAGGCCCATCCTCCAAATCCTGCCCATGCAGGTTTCTTCATCAAGGCCCAGCAACCAAACTCCCTAGTAAGCCCCCCGCCCAGGTCTGGCTCCAGGAGGGTTTGGTAAATACATATATATATAAATATATTTCATAGTGACTCACTTATCCCACTAAAAACAATGGTCACTAACTGATCAGTATGAACCTTCATGCAGTCTCGATGAGGTCAGCTCAGGGTTCATGGGTTGAATGATTACAAATCTTGGTCTGACAAAGAAATCAGACATGAAAATAAAGATGGACACTGACCTGGGAGATGGTTCAGGCTGGACGTCCTTTCTACACAGAGCGAGATGGAGAGACAGACATATTGAGAGACAGGTGGTGATAGAGACTGGTTGTAATTGTAAAAAATGAAACTTCACTTAAAAAAAAGTACTGTAGTAGTTACAGTTGTGGTTGTTTTGTAGTACTTGATGCAGTACTCTGTGTACTAGAAGTAAAAGAAGTACACAACATATTATAACCTGAATGAGAGTCCTGATTTGTTCTTGAGGTTCCTCAGTAAATCCAACTGATTGAGAGGAGGAATCAACCTGAGACACAGAGAAGACGATTTAATCATACAGACATGTGAGAGACAGACAGACAGACAGTTGAGACAGTCTCACCTGTACATGGGGACAGACACCGTCCTCTCGTAATAGTCCCAGGTGGAAGACAGATCAGTTCGGCTCAGATTTGTGGCGTAAACTCTCCACGCCGCCTGCAGACAGACAGAGGTCTATTATCTTTTCCTGGAAACAACTACAAATGCTGACAGAGCAGGAAGGAACCCATCGCCTGCACAGCTTTTCAAAGTAAAAGCACATAAATAAATTAGCTGCATCATTGGTTTTGTGGAGTAAATATTTGTCACTGAGTGACTTGACAATGTTTCAGCTCTAAACATGTTTCATCCAGTTTCAGCTGCAGGAGTTTGTTCCAAATTAAGTGATGATGTCACCGGTCACACGTCATCACTGCAGAAATAAAACAAGTCCATGAATTGAAACTATTTGTTTTATCGTCAGCAGCTTCTTGGTTTGTTTTGAGTTCCAAGTTTCAGAACTTTTTATTTTCCCTAAAGTGGTTATGTCACCAAACGATAAGGTTACCATAGCAATGAGGTTGTAATGATGCGATGGACTTGCTCAGAGACAATGGTCTCTGGCATCAGAGTGATGTACGAGGGTGAGTTCACCTGAATGAGTCCGGCTGCTGGGTTTCGTCTCTTCTCAAAGTGTTTTTGTCGGTGCTGCTCCTGGACCTTCAGAGCAAAACCAGAACCCAGGATCCCCTGAGGACACACATATGAACCGCAGACCAGGTGCATGAAGACCAGGTGGACGCTCACTTGTCTCAGGTTAACTCAGGCAATCATCCGAGTGACTTACAGCGGGCAGAGCAAAGAATGATACTCCGATCAGTGTGAAGGTTGCAGCCAGGAGACGTCCATTCCAGGTGATGGGGAACTTATCTCCATAACCGATGGTTGTCAAGGTGATCTGATGGAGACAGAAAAGGACCAATCAGATCGCCTGGTTACTGAATGGGAGACAAGTAACAGACAAATGTCGAGGTCAAACCTCAGATGTGAATCGCTGAGTCAGTCTTTCTTAGAAAAGACTTTAACCTAAATGAGGTCTTAACTCAACAGAGTCTGATGTGAATCAGTGTGAATCAATGTAATGTCCCCTGAAGCGTGTGTGTGTCAGTCTCACCAGTCCCCACCAGAGGGCGTCAGCATACGTCTCAAATTGTTCGTTATCTTCTTTTTCTGCCAAATAAACGAGGAAACTGGCCAGAATGAGACACAGGAAGCCGATGTACCAGGCTGTGATCAACTCCTGTAGGGGGCGACAGAGAGAGGGACATGAATACCCAGTTGATCTGAGAATAGAGAGAGAGTAGAGGAGACCTGGCAGACATTTAGCTCAACCCTGTCAACGAATCCATTCCACACAAACTTGTGGCAGCAACACTGAGAAGGTGCCATTTTTTCAGAGATGACCAAAGACAACAACAACAATTTCAGTTTGAAATTCACCAGTGGAACCACAACACGTGTATGGCATCGCTTACAGAAAGGCATTCTCACTGGTTGCACCATATCAGGAGCCCAGATTCCATCAGGCACAGAGAGGCCGGCGAAGAGGCCGGGAAAGATCTTCCACTGCACCTTTAGAGACACTGCAGCCGTGCAGTCAACGAGAACAGAGAACGCATGGCCATCAGCAGTGGATAACTCAGGAGAACTCAGGGCATTGATTTGTCAGCATGAAATCCTCTGAGGACTTTGAACAATGCTTCCTGCAGCTTCTCTTCTTATTTCTGATGATGATACAAAGACCAATGTGGGAGACTTGAGAGAATATCAGCTAGTTCCTTTGGAGGTGACTGGGCCTGCTGAAGACTTTAGACTCACACCAACTCAATGCCAGTACCCAGGCATGTTCACTGTGCCCGGCAAGAGGTTCCCTGGAGCACATCATGAGCTGCTGTTCAGAAGCCTTGGGAGAAGGGAGGTACAGGTACAGACACTAGAACCAGGAGCTGAAAGAAATCACCGACACCATCTGTGCCAGAAACCTGAGATTCCAACAGCTGACGTTTCCAGAAGACATTGTAAGGACGATTTCAAGGCCTGATCTGATCTTACTGTTTCCTGGCTGGATAGAGGAAGGGAAAGAAGGTTAAACATCGAGGGCTTTTCATAGAATGTAGATGGAGTGTGTGCCCATGGAGGAGGGCTGCAGAGCTTTGCAAGGCAGTCTATACACTGAGCTGTTGTGTCCTGCAGGGGAGACGAGAAACCAAGAACTAAGCTGCAGAAAAGACGTGGTGGCTGTGGACCAAGAGGGAGGATCCGTGGAGGAGAAGTCACAGATGATCAGATAACTGAAACATCCTGTGACTCTGAGTTCATCATGTGACACAAAATCACACACACACACACACACACACACAGGTACCTTGCTGTGGGCGTACACCACTGATCCAAGCAGTTTCCAGGTTCCCCCTCGTCGGTCCATACGGATCATCCTCAGGATCTGAAGGAACCGAAGAGAACGAATCGCTGAGGTCGCAAAGACGTTCCCCTGAGTCCCCGCCGCCAAGACGGAGATGGAAGCTATCAACACCATGATGTCTGAGAGACAGACAGGTCAGAGAGAGAGAGAGAGAGAGAGGTGAGACCTGCTGTCCTGCGTGTGAACGTGTCTTCATCGTACTCAGACTCACCGATGACACAAAAGGGTTTTCTGGCGAACTTGAGTCGTCCTCTCCATCCTCTGAACCGACAACAACAACCTGCAGCCCAGATCCTCACCATGTACTCCACCCCGAACACCACGATGGTCACCACTTCCTGTGACACGACAACAACACACTGTTAAAAACACATTGATAAAGCAGACACAGAAAGTGACTGACCTCTGACCTCCGATCAGTGGGCGTCAGATAAAAGTGTTTTTACCAGGATGTAGAGGGCGTCCTCTGAACTCTTCTCGTACTCTTTGATTGTGGAGAACACAGACAGAACCAGACAGGAGAACACCAGCAGGAACCTGAAAACGAAACAGTCAACACACTTTCTGTTTCCAGGGGAATATTAAGACTGTGACACCTGATCTCATGTCTGTGTTTCCAGGGGAATATTAAAACTGTGACACCTGATCTCATGTCTGTGTTTTCAGGGGAATATTAAAACTGTGACACCTGATCTCATGTCTGTGTTTTCAGGGGAATATTAAAACTGTGACACCTGATCTCAGTTCTTCCTGGAAACTGATATTGATTTTATCTGTGAGATTCACTGACGTCCTTCACTTTAGTTTCCTGTTTCGACTGTTAATATTTATTTAGATGTCTATTTCAAACAGAAACAGATGTGAGGACAGATGTGAGGACAGGTGTGAGGACAGATGTTGAGGACAG